GTGGCAGTGCATCGCAGCGACCCCCCACTAACGTGCATTGGCCTGCGTCGGTCGTTGATAGGCCATCAATAAACGTATAAACTTTTTCGTGTGTATGCTAAGACCATGGACACCAAGACACAAGCTGCGAGCCAATCAACATCTCGACGTGCGCCGCGAGCCATTGTATCGTTGTACGCGCGACAAGGACCTTTGCTTGAAAGTTCTAAAGCGGTTGTCTCAATGGCGTTGGCTCTGAGGCGACGGCTTGGAAGGCTCCGGTATCTGCTCGGACGCTTCGGGCTCTAACACCTGCAGTTGGGCGAGCTCTGAAGCGGGCGGCTTGTAGGTACCAGACTCTGGAGCTATGACCAAGCGTATAGAATAGATGCCCTTGCTATGGCTCGACTTCGAAGCGATGTATACCCTTGCTATGGCACAGCTTCGAAGCGGGTCCTCCGTTGACCGGTCTAGTCCGGGTGCGGCTGCACGTGCACGAGTCGTCCGGCGCGCTCCACGGGGTCCACTCGCTCGCCATGCACATGACGGCGCACGCCAGGTTCTCCTGCGTATCCGGGCACTGGTAGCCGCCGTTTTGCATCGGGATAATCACCTTGCGGTTGCGGACCTGGATACCCGTGCATTCGTCGCACTCGCCCCACTCGCCCCAGTCGTCCATGACGCAGTCTACGGCGCAGTCGCGCTCTTCGCTCGTGGCGCACGGCGCTTGGTCGGTAGATGGCGGGTTCACGATCGCACGCGACCGCGTCTGCTTCGCCGTCGTCTGGTCGCACACCGACCACTCCCCCCACGGGTTGTGCGCGTGGCCGCAGATCTCTTGACAGCTGCGCTTCTCGGACGTCGGGCCCGCGGCCTGGCCGCCGTTGCACGCCGCGTTCACAGAGTTGAATATCCCATCGAAGCCTACTGGGGGGCAGCCAAGCGCTACGCTCGGGCCAACTGCGACTACTCGTTCGAAGGACTCAAGACTTGCGTACCAAAAAGCCTCGAAAGCGTCCCGTTGGCATCGATTCGCAAGTATTTTCGTCGATGCGGACATTTCATCGAATCGTACCATTTGGGTTGCGACTACGAGCTGACGAAGTATGCCCACAAGAAGTACAGATGTCACAGACGAATTCCCGACTCGATTTTACAAGAAAAAGATGCGATAATTGCCGAAATGAAACAAAAATAGTCGGTTATTTTTTAAAAAATAGCTCGAGATTTCTTGGTCAGAATTTGGCCGTTTGTCAGTCTTTACGTGACGTGCTTCATACTGTCGCCGCAGCAGCCCGGTTGTTTCCACATCAATGACCATATCCGGATATCCGGATGGTAAACGGTCAAGTGACGTCACTTTAATCAGTCGAATAAAAGTCCATACCAATATCAAGTTGTTTTATTTTGTGCTTTGGCTAAATCCACGCCTTGTTTGGACGCTGGCACTTGGTGTCCGTTGAATTTATCGCGCACCACAGAGCTTTCAATGCCACAAATATGGTGAGTGTACACTTGTAGTGTTAGTGTGTCGGTCGGTGAGGCCATTTACGAAGGTTTGCGTAGCGGAAACCCTACGACAAGTTATCCTTTGCGTGTTTTTAGATTGGTGAATCAAAGCGCACACCATGGAAAAGGGGTACGAGGACGGGGGCACACGCGCTCAGCACCGCACTCGTCTCGACCGTTCGCATGCGAAGGCATATCCATGCCCATTCAGGGTCGCCCCTGTGCCCATCTGTCGCGACACTATACTCCTCCTTGCACAGTAAAGCGTCACGCCATAGCCTTCAACACCACTCGATTGATACCGATACCCAATCTCAGAATTGGTCAGAGCTGCCCCACTACACGATGTCAAGGCCTCACCGCAAGATGACCAAGCACGTTTG